TTGAACTGATTCCCATAGTTTGCTTATATTGTTGATACGTAGTAAGATCTCGTACCATACGTGTATCGCAACAATAAATTCAAATCTCATTATTTTCTTCAAGACTGCGTCACAGTCGCTTAGAGTTTCCGAATCATCACTTATAGTTTGCAGCTCATTCACACATTCTATAACATCATCAAATTGCAGAAATATTGCTTTAACAGTTCCGATTCTGCTTTCCCATCGCGTGTCAGAAAGAGGTTTTAATGTCAATTTTAATTTAATTCTTACGATGTCCTAACGCTTACTTAATTTTGCAAACAGTACAAATATTTTATTAACAAAACTAAAAAACTTTTATGCTGTTCCAGAAGATTTAGCGGCATCAACTAAAAGTAAGTTCCAGATGTGGCATCCGCACGGCGTAAAGAATGCTCTGGGATTTATATCGAGTATTCTTGTTCTGACACCTTTATTAATATCGCCCATATTAGCGCCATTATCATACCCGTGTCCTCGACAGTTTTGAATGTCTAGTCCATTTTTGTCTAATTCTTCTAGTATTGATTTTGTTATGTACTCTCCCGTTGTTTCTGCGCGACACAATAAAACCAACAAAATGTTCCTCTATTTCTCCTGTTGAGTTACAAAATCTTAACATTATGGGCATTTGTTCAACGCGACTGACATCCCTAATACAATCGAGCAAGAAGGCGTAGTATTTTGCTTTTTTAACTCTTCCTTTGATTTCATCAACTACTGACTTAGACATTAACGCAATCAGTTCATTTTGAATGTCGTGGCTCAGATAATGCTGAGTTAATGTTTTTTCATTAATGCGATGCATGTGTTCTCGTAGGGTCGAATCATATTTCGATAACAACTTGAATGAATCTATAAAATTACCACTATTCCCGCTATTGCTAAACTTAAGAGATTCTCGATGGCCTCTAAATGATAAGTTGCGTACAGCTAAGCTTAGTTTATTACATCGATCAATCTTTCAAATAAGTTAAACCTGTACTTTTGCGAATCTTTAATCGATTTTTTATTATCCTTATCTATTGTTTTTTCCGTGTTTTATTCCTTTATATAATTCCATCCATTTAATTATGCATTTCTTGTGTCCTTGGCTTTATTCATGTCTTTGTAATATTCGGCTCAAATCTTTCCAATCACAACGTTCTTCCATAACTACCTGTGTCTGGAAATGTGAAAAAAGTCTGCATGGAAAGCAATAAACTTTATCTCGACAAATGGAATAAACTAGTCATCTTCGATGTTGCGTTTCGCCGTTACTTAATTTTCGAGTGAAATGAAATTTGGAAAAATGTCCATTATTTGCGTCTTTGGGTAACTTTCATCAGATATCTTTAAATTTTGATTGGGTCCGTTTTGAATTAGGTCATGACGTTGTGCATTGTTTAATGGCAATATCCACTTTTCTGGATCTATGTCTATAAAGACTCTTTTAAATGAACTTCTTGTACATGATTTTTGAATCACACATCGTTTCAATTTCCAACTCATTATTGGGTTTGGACACTTGGAACATAGCAGATTTTATGAACAAATTAGAATATAATTAGAAATTATTATATAAGAATATTATGAAGATTAGACTGGCGCGTATAGTTTTTATTATTCTTATCCATTGCTTTTTTATTGTGTCTAGGCATCTGAATTAGCTTATTTTACTGTAAGACATTGTTTATCACTTTTACACCAGTTTTTTAGTAAAGAATATTATGAGAGATTTGGAAAAATAGCATTTAAATTATTTTTAGTGCAGCTGCAATTAAATTATTGAAGAACATTCTTTTTAGGAGTTTCTAATAGTTTTAATTAATATTGTCTACAGTGCATGGTCTATGTATGAAATTATGTAATACTTGACAACATTTATGAAATAATAAAAAAAATATTGTCACTAGAACCTTCACAGAATTTCCTGTTTTTGATTTCTTCATAGAATGAACCACAATTGACCTTTACAATTGGAAGCTGAATGACGAGATGATGAATTGTTTGTAATCAATTTTCTTAAGTAGGATATTAAAGAATAAGGATTTCTTATTAGAATTTGGTTTCTTATTAGATCCACCTTGCCTTTTTGTTCTGCCAAAAGAGTTCCAAGGAATCCTGATTAAAATTTCGGGTACGCAAATAATTAAACCCATTCAGTAATCAGATTTTTTCTCAAATATGTTCCAACCTAATCAGGTTAATATCAAACACTATAATTAAATGTGTTGTATTCAATGAAACATTTAGAAAGGGCTCTAACCAGTAGAAGAATGTGGTGTAGTATTATATGTGAAGGTAGAGTATGGTACCCATAAATCCCAATCAGACTGATCTGGTTTTAAAAATTCCGAATATACTCTACCAGAGTTCTGTGAGATCTTTCGAGAGCTTCTTAGACTGAGGGTTATATGCAGTCGTTTGAATTTTATTTTTATTTTTAAAATTTTGCAAACCTGCTTGAATAACGCATTTAAAAAATTACTACCTTGATCTGTAAGTATTTTTGAAGGCACACCGTAGTTACAAACAATGTTTCCTACAAAAGCTCGTGCTACGCTTTCAGAGTCCTGGAATTTGAAAGAGATTGCTCGACTAAATTTAGTTAATAGGTTTTGGAATGTTAAAATACATTTATTTTGATTAGGAGTCTCGGTAAAAGGTCCGACTATATCAAGCGCGCATTTTTCGAATGGCTTCGTGGGAGTGCCTGTAATTACCATTGGAAATTTATTTGATTTGTAATTTTTATTTCTTTGGTAAATCTCGCAATGTTTTATATAAACCTTTAAATCTTGTTTGAGATTTGGCCAATTGTATTTCAAAACAATTCTTTTGAAAGTTCGTTTGAATCCTTGATAACCTCTTATGGGTGTGACATGAAATTCTCGAAATATAGTTTCCTTATCACTGGGAGTAAGAATGTTAGTTAACGGATAATTAAGTATATATATAAGGCAAGTTTATAAGCAATATTTTACAAAGGGTGGTTTTTCCCACACCACCTTTTTTATTACAAATAGAAATCATTTTCATAATTATTTATTCTCCCCTATTAAATCAATCAGTTAAAATTTCATTCATTAAAGTTGTACAACTTCATTTTTTGTCCTTAGCTTGTTTTCTAAATTTTCTTACTAATTCAACTTTACATGTCATTGGTGGCATAATATCTTGATAATCAATTTTATTATATTTTTTAGTTTTATTATAACTTGATACATTTTCAATTTTTTTTAAAATATCTTTATCTGAAATATTATTTTCTAAAAATGAATTTCTTATTTTTTATTTGTGGCATAATATCAACTCCTAATATATTTATGTTATGAATATTATTTAGTAACTATTTATATTTAATGTTATTTATTTTATTTATGTTATAAATATTATTTAGTAACTATTTATATTTAATGTTATTTATTTTATTTATGTTATAAATATTATTTAGTAACTATTCATATTTAATGTTATTTATTTTATTTATGTTATAAATATAAAAAAGATAACTTTAATAATAATGATCCAATATCAAAAGTAGTAGATTTATTATTAGAAAATACTGAAGATTTAACAACAATTTTTAAAGAGGGAGGTTTGTATAAAGAATTAACAAAAAGATTAGTAAAAAAAATGTTGAATTCTGAAATGCAAAATTATTTAGAACATGAAAGAAATCAACGTAGTAATAGTAATAATATCCCTAATGGTACAACTTCAAAAAAATTAATAACTCAACAAGGTGAAATTGAAATTGATGTACCAAGGGATCGCAATAGTGATTTTACTCCTGTAATAGTTGCAAAAAGACAAAGAAGATTTGATGATTTTGATTAACAAGTTCTTTCATTATATGCAAAAGGAATGACTTTATCTGATATTAGAATGCAATTACAAGAGTTATATCATGGCGCTGATATTAGTGAAAGTGTTATTAGTCAAATTACTGATTGACGTCAAAGCATGACAAAATCGACCATTAGATAGTGTTTATCCTATTGTTTATTTTTATTGTATAGTAATTAAAGTACGACAAGATAAACGGATTATTAATAAATCAGTTTATATAGCTTTAGGAGTTGATTTAGAAGGTAAAAAATATGTTATAGGTTTATGAACTAGTGAAAATGAAGGTTCTAAATTTGACTAGCAAATTCAACAGAAATGAAAAATCGAGGCTTAAAAGATATTCTTATTGCTTGTAGTGATAATTTAACAGGAATGTCAGAGGCAATACAATCAGTTTATCCTAAAACCGAACATCAATTATGCATTGTTCATCAAATTAGAAATAGTTTAAATATGTTTCATACAAACACCGAAAATCACTAGTTGCAGATTTAAAACCAATTTATAGTGCATGTAGCGAAGAGCAAGCAATGCAAGCTTTAGAATCGTTTGAAAATAAATGAAATAAACAATATCCTCAAATTGCTAAATCTTGATATAAAAATTGAGAAAATTTAATGGTTTTTATTAGTTATCAAGCAGAAATCAAAAAAGTGATTTATACTCTACAAATGCTATTGAATCTGTTAATAGTCAATTACGAAAAGTCATCAGAAATAAAAAAGTTTTTCCAAATGATATGGCAGTTTTCAAAATATTTTATTTAGCAATTGAAAATATAACAAAAAAATGAACAATGCCCATTCAAAATTGAAATACAGCAATTGCTCATTTTATGATAAAATTCGAAGACAAAATTAATTTGAACTAGTAACTTTGTAAAACAAAAACACAGATTATTAAAAAGCCTCTAGCAATATTCAAAATTATCTGAATTTATGAAAATGAAAATATTAACACTATGAATTAACTCCTCATCAAAAATCTAATGTGTTATATTTCAGTTTGTAAAAAAAATAAAACATAAAATTCAATAATATTAAATTTTTGTTCAGATTGATGACTTTTTTTATTTCACCACTAATTTTCTACAAAATTTCAAAATTAAAGATTATGAAATTATTGTTCCTTTCTGTTAAATTATTTTATATAATTGGATAACCTATATATTTAGCAATTCCGCAATGATTATTATTCATTATGATTTTAAAATATCCTTTTTCTCCCCATTCTTCACCCCATGAATTTTTTACAATCTAATACTTTTTACCGCGACTTTCACCATAACCAGTTATTAGTACAAAGTGATTAATTTTGTTATTATTACAATATCGGTCATAATAAATACCCTCGGAATAAAATTGAAATGAGGGTGACTCTATATTAATTCCACTTGCGATTGGGCAAATATTGGATAAAATTTTTTTGATTTGTTCTTCATTAAGATTTTCTAAAATTTAATAATCTTTAATTTTGAAATTTTGATTTATCATATCATTATGATGACATGAATAAGATTTTCTTCCTAAATATGGATAATATTCTGAACGTTTTATTCCATTCTTTTTCATATATTCAAAAGAAGAATCCAAATATCCTCCACCACAACCATTTCCTTCAGTTACGCAGTCCAAAAGATTTTGTTCGCTAAACGAAATTAATTTTCCGTTTTTTAAAAAGTGTTGCCCTTCCAATGCTCTCACCTGAAAAAATGATAAGTTTAAAAAGAATGAAATTTTAAATTTTATCTTTAAAAGGTGAAAAAATATATGATATTAATTCCGTTAAATTTAAAATTGAAGCTGTAGTATTTTTTAAATTTAATTAATAAAATCTATAATTACCGCTCCAAATGTCCAACAGCTTCCACATTCACCTTGATTTTTTATGCTTGTTACTGCTCCAGCTTTTTTCCAATCTAATTCTTTATTATCATTATAATCTAATTCTTTATTATCATTATAATCGAATTCTTTATAATCATTATAGTCCAATTCTTTATTATCATCATTATATTGAAAAATGTTAAAATAATCAAAATTTTTTAATTTTTTTTTTGTTTTTCTACTGTTCATAAGTATATCATACTACCACCCATTCTTTTTAAAAAATCTTCATGGGTTAAATCTGAATACATATTCATTTTCATCTTAAATAAGCTTGGCATTTTTCTTTTCATATTTTGTTCTTCAGTTTCATTTATAAACTTTAAATTATTACAAAATATGTTTTTGCTTTTCTGTTCATCTTCGTATGTGTAATTTTTTTGTTTTTTTAACTATAAAATTAGTATAATGTTAGATTAAAATTCTTACAAAAGTTAATTTTAAAATTTTCAAAGATTTAAAAACTAAATTTTTATCAGAAACAATTACTTTTGTAGATTTAGAATATTAAAGTATACAAAAAAATACATATTTTTTATTATCTAAGCTAAAACTAAAGAAAAACAAAACTATTTCAAAAATGAGAGTAGTTTTTGAAATTTTTTTAACTATTTTTATTAAAAGTAGAATTATAATTGAAAAATATAGAAATCATAGAAATGTATTTATTTTAAGTTTTAATTTAATATCTTAAATTTATTTATTAATAAACTTGTTACCTTAAAATTTTCCCATTCTTTTTCACAATAGTCAGTTTCATAAGTTCTAATCTTTATGATAGATATCATAAAACAAAAAATAATTAACTTCATTTTTCAAGAGTAAAAAAATTATTAGATTTTAATAAAATTTTAACTTTTATAAACATATCACTTGTCAATGTTTTTATATATAGCAAATATCATAAGTCAATGCTTTCATATATAGCAAATATCAGAACATAAAAAAGCAATTATGATATCAAAAACAAAGGAACATAAAAAGCAATTATTATATCAAAAACAAAGGAACATAAAAAAGCAATTACGATATCAAATCAATATTTCGCGGTTGATTGTTATATTATATTTATTTTATCATTTTAATATTTTTACGCTCTGTTTTTTTCGGCTGTGGTTATGTAAATTGTATGATTTAAACCTTGATAGTTCACAGCAATATGACTTTTTATTCCTTAAATATTTTTACACCAGCATCATAACCGTTATTTTCAGTATTATCTTTGTTTTTAACATTTTGTGAATCAATTATACAAAAACTAGTTTGTTCTTTGTGACCATTGTTGATACGAAATTTTCTAATTATTTTTTTTTAAAAATAGTTGCCATGTGCTAAGTTCTTTACCATTATTTTTACTTAAAATTTGAAAATAATAATATATAATTTTTCATTTTGGAAAATTTTTTGGCAATATTTTTTATTGACAACCATTTTTTAATACATATAAAAATGCACAAAATACTTCATATAAATCATTTAATTTTATAAAAATGAAAGAGTTAAGTTCCTAAAAAAAATGAATTTAAATAATTATAATAATTATAAAAAGGAATGGTTATAAAAGTTAAAATACCAGTTGATATAAATAAATATGATAAAAAAAATAAATTATATGATATAATTATATAAGTTTTGAGATTCAAGTATAAACAAATAAAATAAATAAATAAATGATTAAGTAGACTATTACTTTAAAATCTACTTAACTATTGATCCAATACAAAATTTATGCATGCATCTTTACTAAAATAAAAGTTGGATAAATGTACACAATTAAGTGGTTTTGTTGTTCTGTCAACATCAAAGGGCGAGCAACCTTTTTAACCCGCGGGCCAAATTGGTTTTCAAAATTTTATGGCGGGCCGCACGTAGTTTATATATATACTAGCTGACCCGGCTAAGGTTTAGCCACAGGAAATATTTTTAGAAAATCATCGGTATTAGAAATGACTAACTAATTCTGAACGTATAAATATGTGGTACATAAATGAAAGGGGCTGCTAACACAAATTACATTAATAATTTACCCACTACAACGCTAAAATACTAACATTCATATCTGACTTAGGTTATGCTATGTTTAGCGAAACGAGTGATATTTCAATTACTCTGAAAAAAAATTCAGTTTTCTCTCAAAAACAATTTTATCTTCAGATTTTAATATTAGATTTCTAGTTTTTTTTTGCTAGAATTGCTCCCTTTGCAAGTTATTCAAAAACTATGTATTTCTAATGCACATCGGGAAATATTTGTACAGTAGTTTATACCGCAAATCAGTTAGTTTTATCGAAAGTAACCATTTCGTTGCCAATATTTAACTATTGTTTTTAAAATGTTGCAGCGAATAGAGAGAATAAATTTAAGCTTTTTTATAAGCTCAGAAAAATCTTGATCGAATTTCAGTTAAAAACGTTCACAAAAAAGGCGAAAAGGTTAATTGATTTATTGCCGAGCTAAATAAAAAATATTGGACTACTAAAATGACTATTATAAATTAATGGAAATTTGGAGTTGTATGTAGTTTTGCATTCCGCATTAAAAAAATTAAAATAAAGAATAAAAATTAAAAAAAATGTTACGTTTGTACAACCCACGCTAAAAATAAATTGCTTTTTCTTTTTAAATAAAACTGAAGCTTTTTCATAAACTCAAAAGTCTAAACTAAAATTAAGTCAAAAGATCTGTTGTCTGAGCGCGGAAATAATGTAATTACAACAAAATTACAAAATTGTCATAAAAAAGAACAAAAATACAAAATTGAAAAAAAGTATATATGTTATATATTTACGAGTATATATTATAAATGTTTATAAATATTAATACAAAAAGAAAACAAATAATAGCTAAACAGAAAAAATAATTTACTTGAAAACTTTAGTAAGAAATTTGGCACTTTTTTTTTTGTCAATATCAGCCGTTTTTTTTTAAATTTTGTTCTTTATTTTATTTTTTTTAATGCGGAAAGTAGCAACACGTATGCAACTTTGATATGTTTTACTCAGTTTGATAGGTGGTAATTTTTTATGAATTTATGGTTGAAATTAACACGGGTCCACAAAAAAAAGTTGTCTAGATTGCGTATGTTACATATGCTTTCCGATGTATTTCCAATGTACTTTTACCGCTGAATATAAATCTATAGTCAAAATTGGGACACAAAATATGGAAAAACATTTGAAATCTGGCACAATCTTCAATCTAGCATTTTTTCTGAATGAATGAATTATTATCCATCGACTTTTCTTTTGAGGGGCTGTGAAATTTTTCGCACACATACGTACTTCCAAAAATAATTTATCATAATTTGATTTGGGTTTTTTTTCGAAAGCAAAAATGTTCCAGTGCTGACATGAGATTTATAAAAAATTGCGATGTTTACTGAAAAAATACATTTTCTAAATCTGTATAGTTTTGCATGGTAAATGGCAAAGAAAACATTTACATAAAAACGGCTGTTTTGTTAGCTTTAAACATTTGGAATCACAATTAAAATTTATTCACATTTTTTTCTGAAAATGGAATGTGAAACACAAGATACTGCAAAAGATATTATTCCTTATCACCAAAATGACGGTAGTACTACAATTGTTCTTTCATATCCAAAAACAATTTTATAGTTCGCCATTTGGGTCGTATACTCCTTTAAGCATTGCATCAATATTGAGCTAACTTACTTTGGTATTGAAAAGCACATCGCCATATTCACGCTCTAAATTGTCAGGAAGTCTTTAAATTCACGAATTTTTAAATTTTTCTTGCAATATTGTTAAACTAATATGTTTAATAAAATGACCATTCGGTTTGAATGGCCAAAAAAGTATTTGTTGAGATAGGTTCAAAGTGTTTAAGAAGTTCGTGATCTATCTGGATGCTGCCGAACTCTATTAAACACTTGCACTTTGCCGAAGGACCAGATATATTTAGTTGTTGGCTATATCAGACCGTTTGAATAAAAATAAAAGATGTTGAATAACTGTTTGATTATTGTGTATTTGAAATATTAAGATTTATAGATGATTAGATAGAGGTTTGAATTAGATGTTTTGGATTTGAGTGTTAATTTACGACTGCTCTTAGCTATATGAAATTTAGGTTGATACTAAATTATGTAGATTTTATAATTTTATATATTTTTCTGATTGGCCCATTTTGTGGAATTTAGGACACCCCATTACAATTTTGGAACCAATCAGTGCAATTACATTTATCAACCGATCAGGTATTGGTTGATAAATTGCATGATACGAAGAATTTAAACTGGACACAGGTAGTACGAATTTCTTGGAATTATAAGGATGATCTAGTTAGGGACAGGTGATAAAAATTCTAGGAAAAATGGATTACTGAATTTGCGACAGGATGCGTAATAATAAAAGGAATGAGGGTTTATTGTCGCTATCCTGCATGGAGATAATAAAATATAATAATTAGACCAGGGTTGGGAAATGAGGCGTTAACATGCCCCCGGACTTAAAAAATTATGAGGAATTAATTATGAATATTTTTTAACGTTGCTTAATCCTAGTTTTATGCCATTGCTTATAACAATGTTAATGTTTTGAAAGTTTATAGATATCACATGACATGTGATGATAATATTGATAATAGATTGATTAATGATAATGATAATGGATATAATGTTAGATTATTCACGGACACTTTACTAAAGTCTTTAAAATTGTCCAAATGTTCAAAATGATTGTACTGACACTTCACTAGAGTCGTTAAAATGCCTAAATGTTTCGCATGATTATTGATAATTGACACTTCACCACACTATAATTATTTAATGTTTCAGATAGTTTTTGATTATTCGGTAATACACAAATTGTTTTTTATGTTTAATATTGATCATTTTCACTGTTTCACAATGTAATCACACAAAAGTTAGTTATTAGATTTTACAATGTCTTTGTTTAATTTTGCTTTTACCACTCGAATGATGATGCCGTCCTTAGGGTGCAGATTTGTGATAATGCCTATTCGCGGTCGTAGTGGTTTTAGAATTTAATCGAGGAATAGTACCATACTACCGAATTTAGCTTACAATAAGTTTTGATGCATTTTTGTGCGTTTTCTTGCACAACCGCTTCTGATGATGTTGCCTTGTTCTCTGATGAAGTTGATAGCTGTTGATAGTTGTCAGAGATTTCAAGCACGCATGGATTTAGGATTGATGTTGGTGGTTTGTCAATTAGGAAATGATAGGGGTTTGAAGGATTGTAATTATTTGGATTGGAACCTTGTAAAGATAATA